AAGAGGGTAATTCCTATTCACTTATTTTTATATTTACCTTCTTTTTTGTGTTTTTGGGTGGAAGGGGAGGGATTGAATTTTAACCTGCCTACACACATTAGTCCAACTTACAATATCGTAGGTCTGATCAGTACTTATCTCATTGTCTTTCATATGCTGACTGCGAAGGTTCACCATAATTTCTATTACTTAGGTGATTGCTTGTCTTGATGTGAGGACAAATGACAAAGGAGATCTTGTTGTAACCAAAGGCGACCAATACGATGTAAGAGAGCATACAAAAGAGAATGAGGTATTTCAATAATTCTTGATTCCTGCCTTTCCTGATTTTGGTGATTTTTTCAACCTAATTTCTTTGTGCAAATTTTCATGCTTACCAACGATATATCATATTAGGCATCATCAGTCATTGGTGCATCATAATTTATCATAGTCAAAATTAGTAAGATCTAGTTCAATAAGCCCCACTCATGGATCTTACTTTGCATTCTTTGCTTGTTTCAAGCACATCTAGTTTCATACCCTCTTTTTTTTCCTATTTGAGTACGCGACCTTCTTGTAAAAGGATAAGAGCACCAGGAGAAAGTGTATCTTTGCCTCGGTGGATTAATGTTGTCACTTAATGAAAGGTTTACTTTTTGCTATTTATTGTGGTATCTATGTATCATTCCTATTCTAAATAATGTGTGACATATTTTTGTAGTCTTGTTGATGGTTCAAATTCTTTTCATTATGGCATAAAATTGCTTCTATGTCTACTAATCAGAAACTTTGGTAGGTGAGAGAACTTGGCAAGCCTGTGGAGCTGGCTCGACAGTATTACAAAGATGGGGCAGATGAGGTATGCCTCCTTAAGTTTGAACAAATTTCACTGCTTATGCATCATCAAAGAACTGTGATAATCTGCTTAAAGTCTTGATCTTGAATTTTCAGGTCAGTTTTTTAAATATTACCGGTTTCCGCGACTTCCCTTTGGGCGACTTGCCCATGTTACAGGTTTGTGATAGAGAATTTTTAACTGTTACACTTAAATCTGTCAATTTTGACAAAATAGTGAGTTTTCCTATTTTGAATTTGTGTTGTTTTCAAAAAAAAAAAAAAAAAAAAAAAAAAAAAAAAAACATTGCGTTTTATATTGAACTAATTTCTTAATTCTTGTTTACTTTCCATGCTTTGTAGGTACTGAGATACACATCAGAAAATGTTTTTGTACCATTAACAGTTGGAGGTGGCATTAGAGATTTTACAGATGCTAATGGCAGGTATACTCCTGGGTGTTCTATTTTGATGGGCCAATATTGTCTTTTCTTTACATGTTTCAACTTTCCTTCTTATATTTTTCTCTATAGAATTAAATTCAATAGCTTCCACTCATATTATACATGCCGGTTAAATGTAGGAGTATGGACATGGATTTAAGTTCATTTTGTTTTTCAGGAAGTATTCTAGTTTGGAAGTTGCTTCAGAATATTTCAGATGTGGGGCTGATAAGATTTCCATTGGGAGTGATGCAGTTTATGCTGCAGAAGAATATTTAAGAACTGGAGTATGCAATAATTTTCATTGTTTCAAATTCAGATCTGTGCAAAGCACATGACTCTGTGTATGCCTCTCTAATGGTTCTTCTACTGATCTTTTAGGTAAAAAGTGGAAATAGTAGCTTAGAGCAGATATCTAGAGTTTATGGAAATCAGGTAATATCTTGTCCAGTAGGTGCATCCATTACATTCTTTTGAGTTGATTTGCACAATTTCAAGACATATTATACAAAGTCTTAGTATACATTCTTGTGGTTCTAATTAATCGTTGACATTGCATTTTTGTGCTTTTTTTTATTTTTATAATATTGTCCCAGCTTCTAGTTTCTGTAGTATTTATTTTGACTGTCGAGAATTCATTATAGTTCTTGTAGTAGCATAAAGTTGGAAACTAGAATTAAATAAAGCGGCTTTTCTCCTGCTTAACTGTGGTTTTGAATTTGCAAACAACTGTTGTTTTTGCTTTTACGTGTTCTGAATTTGTTGAGGGTTTAGGACTGTTGTCTTGACTGATTAATTGATCATGGTCTTTTTCTGCTGGAGTCCTGGACGGCTGTAATCCAGTCTGCCATTGTGTCTCAGTTTTTCAAGTTCCTTATTTAGTTTATTTAATATATATGTTGCAGGCTGTGGTTGTAAGCATTGATCCTCGCAGAGTGTACCTTAAAAATCCAGAGGATGTAGGGTTCAAGACTATTAGGGTAACAAACCCAGGTAAGGGGGCATAACTTCAGTTTTTGCTTCTTTTTCTTGCTTGGATAATCCGTTCATCTTCATATTTCATGTTAAAATTTTGTAGAAAAGTCAAAAAATGTTTATTATTGAATTCAGGTCCAAACGGAGAGGAATTTGCGTGGTATCAGTGTACAGTAAGCATTCTTTTATTTTGCTTTCTTTACCTGTGCACTACCATTCAAAGTTAAAACATGATATATATTCTGAAGCATGCATATGACATGGATTTGCTTCATTTAATTTGCCCCCAGAAAATAAAATAGTAATAAGAATTCCCTGAACCTCCATGTCTGGGTAGTTAGCCTGGCATTAACTATCAGATCTAAAGACATAATTAGGATTATATATTGTTTATTAAGATAACAATTCATGTGGGTTTTTTCATAAGAGAGAAAGGAGCTTAGAGAGACTTATGTCATCTTACCCCACACACATACAAAGAGAGCTGTATCTGTGTGTGCTTGTGAATTCGTTCATTTTTCAAATTTAACTCATTATCAATTTATCATACTCCTGTAAGATATTTCTGTGCTTAGATTGTATGTTGAAATAAATAATTTGTAGGACGAGGGGATCGACTTGTTTGTCAGATGCACCAACTAGAGATCCTTTCTTTGACCAGTTACATCATTAGAAGATTTTCCCCCATTCTTTTAGGAAAGAAGATTTTCCTTTATTGTATCTTGAAACTGTCTGTTGTTTGTTCTGAAGGTTAGCGGTGGCCGAGAAGGCCGACCAATTGGAGCTTATGAGCTTGCAAAAGCAGTTGAGGAGCTAGGAGCTGGAGAAATACTGCTAAACTGCATTGATTGTGATGGTAAAGAATACTTTGGTGTTCCTCACCCATTACAAGTCAATTTCTCTTTTGAGCATAACTCTTTTTTGGGAAAAGAATACATAAAGTTAATGATATTTACAATGAATGCTAAGTTATTCCCCCTTTAAGTGTTAGTTTCTCAAACTAACATGGCATTGTGAGAAAAACGCAAGAATGTTTGGAGTTATCTATTTGCATTTTTTTAAAATTCATTCTCAAACTAGTTTGTTGTTTCTGTTGGCTTCTCATGCTGATGCCGACTCTTTGATGCTTTTCAGGTCAAAAGAAGGGATTTGATATAGATTTAATAAAGCTGATCTCAGATGCTGTGGGCATTCCCGTGATTGCTAGTAGTGGTGCTGGTTCTGCTGAACACTTCTCAGAGGTGTTCAGGAAAACAAATGCATCTGCTGCCCTTGCTGCAGGCATTTTCCATCGGAAGGAGGTACAACTTGAGAACCTTTTATATAACTTGTGAGCATCTCAGTGCTGATTATCACTATCATATTAATTAATACTCTGATTATAATGGTTGCAGGTGCCTATTCAATCTGTAAAGGAGCATTTGTTAAATGAAGGCATAGAAGTCAGAATCTGAACACATCAGTTGCTCCAAAAGCTTTCCAACATGTAGCCGAGAGAGACTTTTTTATATTGAAAAGAAAAGGTTGCGAGAGCCGTTAAATTCATCAGTTCAGTACTGCTGAATCGCATTGATTTTGTGGCAAAAAATGTTCCTAAAATTCTTTCAAGTTATTTAAACGGGATAACCTTAAATTTATTTCCCTAGGCAGAGCTTATAGATTGCAGTTGTTTGCTTACCTGTATTTGACTGTATGATGTAACATATTGCTTGGCAACTGAGATTTTCACATTTAGTTGGTTCAACCTTGATAATAATTTCTTGCCAATTTTCCATCCTATACCATTATATCCGATGGCAAAAGCTTTCCTGTGTAATTGATTGTCTTTTGAGCATTTTAAGATCTGTAATGAATCATGATCAAGCTGCTTAGTGTCAAATCATTTGAGCCTATATTGGGAAGGAGTTGGTAGCAAATATTCCCATGCTTAACAAATACCTAGAGGTAGGGGTGGGCCTGGTATCGTTTGGTTTGGGTTTGACCCTAAACTGCACACTGAACCGTAGCCCTCGGTTGAGCATTTTCTAGCGCCAACACCGAACCACCACCTTCGGTTAACCGGAGTCCTCTATTAACCGGTCGTACTGTTTGGGTTGTTGCTTATATCGTATTTAAGGTTCAGCACACTCAAAAGTAAGGTAACTCGTGATTTATTGCAGCACAAGTGGTAGAAATGCTGGTAAAGAAAGCAAATCCATATCATGCATGCTTCAGGATTAGGGAAATTTTTCAAACTACCCCTTTTTAATACACTTCAAAACCTTTAGCCCACTCCTTTTTTGAGTTCGTATATCTCTAGCCAAAAACCGATGGGCATCGACTTAAACACCCTCAAATAACTCTTCACTTACACCCAACCTATCCCATAGCTTTTTCCCAACATTCTCTAATGCTTGCAGAATTGGTGATTTGTTTTCGATTTATACTGAAGTTTTTTGTGTTTTCATAATTGCTCAAAGGTTTCGGAAATTACTTTAACACCTCCTCGGGTTTCAGATTGTTTGTAGGAAACCCTTCATTTACTTTTCCATCAAAAAATTGATGATGTCATTAAAAAGTAGGTCAAGTAAACACAGTTTTGATTTAGAATCAACTACAGCTTGATTACCAATAATGGTTCAGTGACTAAAGACTTGTGTCTTGTCCAGATTTCTTCTACTTAAATATACAAAAAATAATTAAAATAACAATAAAAATAAAAATAAAAAAGAAAAAAAGAAGAAGAAGAATGTATCTAACAAAGTCACGAGACCCAAGGGAAATAAATCAAAAAAGCTTGCTTGCAAATTCTTCTTTAGCTTGTCTAAGTCTTGAAGACAAAGATGAAGAATTTGCAAGGTCTCTGAGTTCTGCAAGGCTTCTGCCAAGCTGAAGAGCCACTTTCACTTCAAACAGCTCCCCATTCTCTCTCTCCCCAACCTCTCCTTCCTTGAGAGTTGATTCTATGGTCTCCTCCATGAGCTTAAAAAACCCTGCAGAACTCCTATACATCTCAAACACCATTCCCACTTGCCCACCATGCTCCAAAGTGTTGACCACACTGGCCAAAGCCCCAAACACCACAGCCAAAACTGCACCCCATGAACCAAAACCAGTCAACCCAACAAGTCCTGCCCCAGCTGCAGCAAAACCAGTGAGCAAAGGGCCACAGAATGCTAGTATTTTGTTAACCTTCAAGACCACATTGCTTAGCCTCACATATTCTGCAGCATCTTTTCCTCTCACCACACCCAAAATCTCCTTCATTTCCTCTTCCAGCTTCTCATCCCACCCATTCCTCTCAACCTTCTCGCTCGTCTCTTCATGTTGAGGCTTGGATTCTTCTGGCCACCACACAGCAGGCTTCACAAGGGAAGGAAATTTCTCAATCATGGTCCCAAGCAAGGGCAGTGGGTAGGCCTTATCTAAAGCCAAAACCTTTTCCATTGCAACCTTCACATCATTTGAAGTTGGCGTTTTTAAAACCAGAGTGGTTTTGATCTCTTCATGAAGCCTCTTAAAAAGCCTTGAAGCATTTCTCTGCTCCTCTGCTAGCTGAGAAGGCTGGATCTTATTCATCACCAGCAAAATCCCAGTGACAGCCATGTATAGGAGACTGGAAGAGAGCTTGAGAGCCAAAATGGGTGCTCCTCCAGATCCACTCACAGCTGCAAGTCCAGCCATGATTGCAGCAGTGGCTGTCATTCCATTCAGAGAGTTGAGAAGCAGGCCATTCCAATTGTCCCTCTGGGCACAAATGTTCTTGTGCATTTCTACTCTGTCAGAGACAATTTCCATTATTGCATATAGCTCTTGCACCAACTTTGAATCTGAAATTGCTTCACTACCCTTTGATCTCCTAGTGTTTTTAAAATTTGGGTTCATTTCTATATGAGTTGAAGTTGCTGTCAGATTTAGTAACCCATTGGGTTGACTCAGTTCATCCACAAGGAGCCTAGGAACTGAAAGATGGGATGATTTTTGGAATTTTGGGGTGTGGAGAGTGGTTTTGGTTTTTTTAAATGAAGCTGAAGAAAAAGAAGATGAGCAAAATGAAGCTTGAAGAGTAGCCATGGTTCATGAACAACTGCTGCAAAATTGTTTCAAACTTCAGATTGAAGGTGTTTTAGTGAGTGAGATGAATGAGAATTTGATTCAGATTTATATAGAAGGAGCTATAAGAGGAGAGAGACACGAAATAGGCGTGTGTGAGAGACTTGGTTTTTTTATTTCAACGTTTTACGTAGAGTAATTAATCTTGGTCTTTGTTTAATATTATACCTTTGACCATTTACACCGGAAGAGAAAAATTGTACTTTGGACTCATGAGAGAGTCAATTTTTGAACTCCATTAATTAGTATCACATGCGTTTGGCGCTTTGGTAGGTAAGCATACAATACATTGCAAGCAAAATAACTTCGTGGCTCGGATTGTCTGTTGTCTACCGCTGGAGAAAACTGGCAATCATCACTCGTCGTCTATACAATTACGAGTTTATCGCGAACGGGATTTACCCTTATGACATTTTGATAGTGTGTGTAAGTACGAGATTTTTTTTTTTTTTTTTTTTTTTTTTTTTTTTTTTTTTTTTTCTTTTTTGTTATTATTATTATTATATAGGAATATTATCCTAAGATTAATTAGATTACATACAACGGTTACACTTGAAATTTTTTGACGTCATCACCAACCAATAGAATTTAGTACACGTCAGCCATGAGCATTTTTAACAAAGAAAATGCTAAGTTTACCATATTTTTATACCGAATAATGCTACTCTTACCACATTTGTATACCACATTCTTATACCACCTTATGTGGCAGATGAGGTGGACAACACATCAATTAAAATTAATTTAAAGTTTTCTTATCTTTTATGATTTATTGACACTTTTTAATTGATGTGATTGTCCACTTCATCTGCCACATAAGGTGGTATGAAAATGTGGGATATAAATGTGGTAAGTGTAGCATTACTCTTTTATACTACATTATGTATCGCCTCTCTAATAGAGATGGACTCCACCTCTATTAAAAATGTGGTATACAACCTTTTCGCAATCAGCATGCTGAGAAACAGACGAGTGGACCAAGAAGCTCACGTAATCACTTACGATGGTTGCAGTTGACCTTTGAATCTAATCTGTACGTCAGCTTCTAAACTAAAATTGGGAAACTAATCTCTCTCTCTCTCTCTCTCTCTCTCTCTCTCTCTCTCTCTCTCTATTATTTATGCATCTACGAATATCATGTAGATTTTGGTTCTCTCTCTCTTATTTATGTATCTACGAATATCATGTAGATTTTGGTTCATATGTCATTACCGCTAATCCACCCTATGCATCAGTGTTCAAGCAAAATTTATTTTGGAACACATCACCAGCAGCCACCCCCTCCCATTCCATAATGTATGATTCTCCTTTGTTATTTGCATAATAATTGGAATATACCTTCTTCCAGGGGCGGAGGGAGCTAAGGCCCAGGGGCTCCTATGCCCCCTCTCAATTTTATTGAGGCCTATGTTTTCTTAACACAATGACCAATCTTTTATCAAATTTTATTGAGGCCCTTTTTATGTTTTTCTTATCTCTCTTTTCACTATTATTTATTACTATCCTTTTTATATCTCTTTTTGTCTTATTTTGACTCTAAATTTTGTAGTAATAAACTACAATTGGAATTTCTTAGTGTGTATTTAACAAAGTACATGTAATTTGAATCAATATCTTTTGCTAGTATTAATCATGAGTAGATAGTTAATGTCATATGTAAAATAATAGAGTATGATACTCAAATTTAGGGATTTTGTATTAAGTAAAAAAATTCAAATGTCATTTCAATATTTGAGGTGCCCCCTCTATACAAAGTTTCTGGCTCCACCACTGCCTTCTTCTATGTTTTTTTTATACACAAAATAATAGGAATATGCTTAAACAATATATGATGATGAAGAATTTATAAGATAGAAAATTTAAGCACTTCTCTTCCACTTAATATCAAATTGCCACAGTCCTATCATCAAATCTTTTGCCTTCTTGCATTTCTTGGTTTGTCGTTCAATTGTATGAAAGTTTTCATTTTGAAAAAAAAAAAATCAAATTGCAATTGCTCTCTCTTCCCCTATATCTAGCGAATTCACAAAACTTAACATCAAAGACTAGAACTTGAATTTTATAACTTCATCACAGTTTTGGGAAGGAATCAGTTTTCTTCCTATTACATACTAGTTCTGCTAAATATCCCAAAAAGTTCATAAACATCTGCCATTGGCAAACAAGTGCAGTCCTTATAATGGACATGCCTATAATAAACTACAAGTTAATTAAAAAAAACATAAAAATAACCAAGTAGTTAAGCCCTTTATGATCTATAAATCTTTGTCGTCTTAGCTGGAGACTTAAGCCTAAATTTCCTTGTTGTGTGGGTTGTCACAGAAGAAATGGTTGTGATTCCATAGCAAGCTAGAGTGTGGTTGGTCTATAGTTGTATTTGCAATTCAATTTCAACAACCCACGTCAAGATTCCAAGAGACAGAGAAATATAGAGTACGGTAGGGTAGGGGTTGGGGAAGGTGTGGTATAATTAGGTTAACTTTATATATATATATATATATATATATATATAAAAATCTGTTTTTTACATTTATTTTAAGTTATAAGGAACAGACGAAAATACCCTTTAATTTAACGGAAATTTTAACGGAGTTAGACATAGGTGGTGAATTGCAATACTTTACAAATTTCAAGTGGTTAAAAATACAAATTAAAAGTTCATGTGTTAATAGCGCACAGGCCTAAAAGTTTATGCGGTATTTATTCAAATTTCCCTATGATATTTATGATTGAGTTAGACTAATGTGTTCTTTTTACTATTGTGATGTGCAGAGTTCCTCTGTTCTGAAGGGTGTGCATGATGATGGTATGAAATAAAACTTGGAGAGGATTAGATGCAAGACAGATTTTTTGTGATGTGCAGAAAATTAATTAGTGTTTGATTCCTTTTGTGCATCCAAAATTTATGTATTAAAAATATTATATTAGTAAAAGAATGCTATCATTACTCCTTTTTTTTCTTTTTTTCTTTTCCTCAACTGGTTTAGTCTACTCCCAACTAAGAGGCAGTTAAGCCGTATCCATTTTCCTTACAAGTTTCACTCGCCAAAATCTACATTGCTTGGTATTATAACTACCCTGTAATGAAAAATTAAAAGAAAAAGGAAAAAAGATTAGCATCAATACAAAACTCAATCCCTGATTCTCTCTGTTCCTACTACAACCTATAGAGCTTGTTTTTTTTCTCTCTGGAATGAGATTCTGTGAGTGTAAATTGGCACCAGCATGGTGTTGTCCAAATCGTCATCTTCAACCCCTTCTTCATCTTCTGATTCCATATTCAAGTCCCAAATAACTTGGCTATATAAAATGACAGAAAACAATTTAGAACTAAAGATTTCTCGATTCAGTTCATTGCACTTATAAACTTTAAATGTAACCAACAAGTAAGTCCGATAAATTGAAGTATTGATGTTAAAAATGAACAGAGCCTAGTAACTAGGAATCAATACCAAGTGTTAACAGAGCAATAAACTAAAAAGATAACTCAGGAGTTGTCAACTAGATATCTTGGTTCAAGAGAGGTTTGTTGAGTTCAACGAGATCAAGGACTGATTGAGTTTGAAGTCTTTTTCTGAGAAAAAAAGTTGTGTCAATTGTCAGTCCCTTGAGCTTTGGGCTTTGGCTCTATTTATAGATTCTTTGGTTTTTGAATTTGCACACTTGGTGAAGAGATGGATGAGTCTGTGTAAGTTCTTTCTTTGCGATTGAAACTGGTGAACCAGTACATTGATTTCTGCACAGTCGATAGTGGCTTGTCCCAGCATGGATTTTCTTCAGCAAGTTGGTGCAGAATAGCTTCATGGTTCCAATCACATTTAATGCGGCTGCTCAACCTTTCCCTTCAGCGTCTGACTTTCCCCAGCTATCGAAGTCAACTATAAGTTCTAATCTAGATAATCGCACCATTAATCGGGTAAAAGCAATTTTGAAATACAAATGACTTTATTTTGGAAAGTAAGAAATATTGGGCATGCTTGACCTTAGTCTCATCCTTTGGGTTTTTATTTTTATGAAATGAACAGCCCAAAACCCATGTAGACTTTAAAACCCCTCAACGGGACTTTTTCCATTTTCAATTCAAACAAGATGGTTGCCTCAAACCCCAACCTTCTTCCTATCCTCCTCCACCATGGATGACCCCTACTCAGACCTCGATTTTCGCCCTAGTTTCCACTCCTAGGCCCTTTCCTCCAAAATGAGTACGACGATATGACCACTCCAACGACGATGTTTCTCACAATGCCTTCAATAACGTTTACCTCGTTCCCTACAGGTGCACCTTATCTTTTCAACTGAATTGCTCTCGAGTCTTGTTGAGATGGCTCTGTTATTGCATTGGATTTCATTTTCGTGGAGGTTCATGGAGGAATTGGGTGTTGTTGTTTGGGTCGGCGAAGACTTTGTTGCCAACGACAATTGCTTCGATTTCTGTTTGGGGGTGGTAAGGGCGATGTTGCCTCGGACCTATTTGTCGGTGAAAGAGGGGTCATTTAGAGGGAGGGGAGGAGCTTGTGGGCAAGGGTAGGGGCAGTGCTTGCTGACCCAAGTGGGTTAATAGGGAGAGGGTCCTCGGGTACATAGAAAAAATAGTTTTTCTATTTAAACCCCACACTTTTCTTTGTTCACCTCAATACTTAAATCATTAAGCTCTTAAGTTTTATTATTATGTGTTGAGGCCCAAAAAATCCAAGGTTGTGCCCAAATATATTTCTAGCCCAGTACGACACCTAACTTAGGAAGAAACCCAACTTGGGTACGCAAAAGTTCGTCATATGCCCTTGCACACGTGCCACGCCAAGCAAATAAGCAACACGTCATACTAAAAGCTTAAGTGGGCTCAAGCCACGTAAATGCATGGGACTTGCTGAGCTGGTTGTGGTATGGATGGTTACGAGTATTCACGAGGCTCATTGATGGTATAAGGAGTGGAAGTTTTAGGCTACTTGGGAGCACCAAAACTCAAGCCCATTCCTTGAGCCCAAACATATGGGCAAGCATGAGAGAAAACCCAATAGTCCATCACTTTAGGAAGCTAGCCCATTTCCCTAGTAAACTAACCCATCACCCTAGGAAGGCCCAAACGACCAAGAAAATATCTGAAAGTCTCCAAGCACATGGTTGGAGACAAAATCATGACAAAAGCCAAAAATCACTCATGTCTGCAGGCTGCTAGGATTCCCCAGCACATGGCCAAAGACAAATCCCAACACAAGCCATCAAAAAACCAAAGGATACTTGAGCAAAATACCCTTCAAACTAGCGCCCATACCCATTTCTTTCTCCCACCAGCTTTTGTCATGGAAGAAGGAAGGAAAGAAGGTGAGGAGGTAGCCAAAAATGAGAGTTCATTACTGAAGTAGCTACAGGAAAGGCTTAGAGCTCCCAAAAATCTTGTCTTTGTGTGTTTAGACAGAGGAAAATTTCACAAAATAGGATGACTCAAAAGGAGAGAAGAGAAATGAAAGGGGAGACTTAGCAAAACTGGAGAAAACCAACTAGGGTTTTCTTGGGAAGAAGGAGCTTCAAGCGCCTATAAAAGGGAAGCACCTTCTACCCACCAAAACAACTCAAAAAAGGGCAAGCAACCCATATCCAGAGAGCAAGCTTTATCTCTCATCCCTTAAACCTCTGCAATTTCGAGCCTCATTCATCTATCTTATCTCATTTTCTCATATGGCAAGCCATTCCAGAGTCTAAATTGCTCAAACCACCCACTTCTCGTCTCTCTCTCTCTCTCTCTCTCTCTCTCTCCTTAACGAATCCCATTAAAATCCCTTTCCCTTGCTTTAAACCTCTGTTTCTCATAGAAAATCACAACTCTTTCTCTCTCTCATGCTAAACTCATGAATGCTCAGCTCTCATGCCAAGCCAAGAATTTATTTGTAAGCAACTGTTGGTTTCATTGGTGAAGAAGACCAAAGTGTTTCATCAGGCTCAGCTACCCTTTCGAAACACTCTTGGGGTCTGATCCTTGAACTCAGACTCTAGGGACAAAAAAGTAACCCAGGCCCATCACTAGCTGCCGGAACAAAAAAGTACGTAAAAAGACAAAAAAGGTCATCCAACTTAATACTTAACCGTAGTATATCTATACACACACCCAATACACCCAACCACTCTTCATATTAAGTTTTAGAAAAACACAAACTCATCTACATCCTATTGTCATATTACTCTTCTCTTTCAATCCAAAAAACCTACTACACTCTCATCTTCTCTTCACAAACCTTAAATACGACAAATTATAATCAAACAAACAAATCAGAAATAATCATAATCATAATCATCATCATAATCAAAGAAACAAAACTGGAGGAAAAAAAAAACTAGACTTTGACTACGAAGCAAAGAAACAATGTCGGCCTAAGCCAGTGATTGATATATAGTTTTTAGGTCTAATGGTTCCCAAACTTTGAACCGATTCGTATTTTGGCCCCTCAATTTTCAAAATTGTTCCCCAAGTCATTCAACTTCAATTTCGTTAGGACAAATAGTCTTGTCGTCAATTTGGTTATCTTTTCTGTTAAATGCAAGGGCAAAATGGTATTTTTGTTTAAAAATAAATCTATCTTTCTCTCCTCTCCCTCTATCCCGATTTCTTCCCCAGATTTCTTCTCCCCCCCAACCCAAATTTCTCCTCTCCCTCTATTAAGAACAAGGAAGCTTACTTGCATACTCAAGATTCAAATGGGAGGAAGAGAGAGCAAAAAGGGCAACCTACAGCCACTTTTCATCTAGTGCCCCCTCCCCTTCAATTTTCTTTTCCTCCATGACCACCAGTCTCCAACCCCCAACGAACCCAGAACCCCTCCTCCTCCCTCATCCCTGATTTCCTTTGTTGTTAAGAGAGCCCTTCTCTGGCATCAAAGTGTGTGATATCTTGCCATAACAAGGATGTAAGAGCTCAAACAAATTCTGATACCATTGGCTCATTTTGGTAGTTTCAGGTGATTGAACAGTACACAATCTGCACCCTTGACATATGGTCCAATGCCCTATACACAAACATCAGCCAAACAAAGGAAAAGGTTACAAATACAAGGCAGGCTTCTTGAGAGCTTGCTAGTTAATCAGGCTTTTATAAAGAAGTAAAGCAAGTAGTCATCCTGAACCAGTTGTATTCACCTTGGCATTGAGTTGTAGAAGTTCTCCTTTAACCCATTGTGGATTTTAGAACCTGAATTCTACTATACTTCCTTGACCTTTGTACAAAAATTGAAGAGGGGCGCTAGGTGGGGGAAGAAATCGAGATAGAGGGAGAGGAAAGATAAGAGAGAAAAAGATATATATATATATATTTATTATTTATTTGGTTTTTTTTTATAATACAAAAATACCATTTTGACCTTGCATTTAACATAAAAAGTTAACAAAATTGACGGTAGGACCATTTATCTTAAAGAAATTGAAGTTGAAGGACCACGGGAACGATTTTGGAAATTGAGAGATCAAAATGCGAATCGGGTCAAAATTCGAGGACCATTAGACTTGAAATCCCAATATGAAAATTACCACATAGGTTTGCTTTGTTCAACAAGAAAATAAAAAATAATAATAATAATAATTATGCTACATATTTGACAAAAGTGTTTTTTTCATCTCTTTTAAGTAATGTGAGGTTGACGTGAACTTAGAGCGGTGAGGGGCAATATAGTGGGGAGTAGGGTGTGAGATTGATGAATTTTTATTTATTTATTTATTTTTCCGCCAGGTGTGTATTTAGGGGTAGTTTGGGAAGATAGTGGGGTTTTCTTAGAAAATGTGAAAATGTGAAAATGTGAATTAGAAGTTGGGGTGAACTTAGAATAGGGGTCAACAAACAGAAGTGCGAGGTTTAAATAGAAAAAAGAAAAAAAAATGAGGGAGAGAGAAGTTATTATTATTTTTTCTATTTGTTAATTTTTCTTAAAATAAAATATTTTATTGATTTTTACATGGCATCCACTCGAACAAAACAGTGGGTCTTATTTGGCCACGTGGATGAAATTACCATAAAGCCCATGCCACGCCATTAGATTTAACAAAGTTTTGGATGGAGTTGATGAAATGGGGCAAAGTGGGTCACCAAACCTCGATCAAGAGATGAAAGCTATATTGCACGCACACTCCACTAAGACCAAGTGTCGGAGTGTGGGACACCTGTGTCCTGTAGTCAACGTCGTGTCCACAGTCAAGACACTCCCCAGACACGATCAAAATACTCTCTCAACACGGGTCAACTCATACTCAGGGTCAAATAATGTGTTAATTCAATTATAATTCATATAAAATTAATAAACTATATTTGAAATGCTTGGAAAGCTTGAATGTCACTATATATGGGTGTTGTGAAATTGGAGTATAAACATCAATATATATTTTTTTTTGGAATGAGATTGTGTCAGTGTAAATTGGCACCAGCTTGGTGTCGTCCAAATCGTCATCTTCTCCCCCTTGTTCATCTTCTAATTCCATATATAAGTCCCAAACAACTTTGCTTTATAAAATGACAGAAAAATACTTAAAACTGAAGATTTCTTGATTTAGTTCATTGCACTCATAAACTTTAAATGTAACCAATAACTAAGTGTGATAAATTGAAGTATTGGTGTTGAAAATGACCAAAGCCTAGTAACTAGGAATTGATACCAAGTGTTTACAGAGCAATAAACTAAAAAGATAACTCAAGAGTTGTCAACTAGATATCTTGGTTCAAGAGAGGTTTGTTAAGTTCAATGAGATCAAGGACTGATCGAGTTTGAAGTCTTTTTATGAGAAAAAAGTTGTGCCAACTGTCAGTCCCCTATGCTTTAGGTTATGGCTCTATTTATAGACTCCTTGGTTCTTGAATTTGCACACTTGGTGAAGAAATGGTGGAGTCTGTGTTAGTCCTTTCTTTGCGATTGAAACTGATGAACTAGTACATTGATTTTTGCAACGTCGATGGTGACTTGTCCTAGCATGGCTTTTCTTCGGCAAGTTTGTCCTAATAGCATTAAATGAGGTTGCTTGGCCTTTCCCTTCGCCATTTAACTTTCCCCAGCTATCGCAATCAACTCTAAGTGCTAACCTTGATAATCGTGCCATTAACCGGGTAAAAGCAATTTTGAAATACAAACAACGGCTTTATTTTGGGAAGTATGAAATATTGGGCCTGCTTGACCTTAGGCCTCATCCTTTGGGTTTTTAATTTTATGAAATGAACAACCCAAAACCCATTTAGACTTAAACAAGAATTCTATAGTAAGGGCCTTAGGTGTGGCCCTATCTCTTAACTGTTTGATCAAATTAGTTAATCATTGGATCAAATTGGTTAGCATGATCCAACAATTAAGAAATAGGATCTCACCTAAGGGCCATATATAAGGCCCTCACTATAAAATGACTCTATACTTAAAAACCCTTAATAGGCCTTCTTCTCCTCCTCCTCCTCCTCCTCCTTCGCCATAGACAACCCCTACTCAAACCTTGATTTCTGCCCCAACTTCTGTTCCCAGCAACTTCGCCTCTAAGACAACGATAACCTCTCCAACAACGATGTTTCGCACAATGTCATCGATCAAGTCTACCTCATTCCCTGCAGGTGCACCTCGGGCAACTAGGCTTTTCCACTAAATTTCTCTTGAGTCTTGTTGAGATGTTGAGATGCCTCTATAGTTGCATTGGATTTCATTTTGGTGGAATTGGGTGGTGTTGTTTGGGTGAGCAACAACTTCATTGCCGACGGCGATGGCTTCAATTTGGGTTTGGGGGTGGTAGTGGGAGATGTTGGCTTCGACCTATTTGTTGGTGAAGAAGGGGTCGTTTAGAGGGAGGGGAGTAGTTGGTAGGTGGGGTTGGAGCAACAATCAATACCCCAAGGGTTGGTGGGGGAGGGGATCGTCGGGTACAGAGAAAAAAAGAGGGAGAGAGAAGTAATTATATATATTTTTTCTATTTGTTAATTTTTCTTAAAACAAATTATTTTATTGATTTTTATGTGGCATCCACTTCAACAAAACAGTGGGTCCTATTTGGCCACACGGATAAAATTGTCATAACGCCCATGTCACGTCATCATATTTAACAAAGTTTTGGATGGAGTTTATGGCAGGGGTCACCAAACCTTGATCAATGGATGAAAGCTAAGTTGCACACACACTCCACTAAGCCCAAGTGTCGGAGTGTCAAACACTAATTGGACACTCGTGTCCAATGGCCAACATTGTGTCCACCGTCAAGACACTCCCCATACACGATCAACACTCTCTATATATGGGTCAACTCATACTCTAGGTCAACTAATGTGTTAATTCAATTATAATTTATATAAAATTAATAAACTACATTTGAAAGAATTGTAAAGCTTGAATTTCACAATATATGGGTATTTTGAAATTGTAGTATGAACATCAATATTTTATTTTTAAAAATATATTTATAAGTATTATTATAAATTAATATTTTTTAATTGTCATGTCCACGTATCCTGCTTTTTTGAGATTTGGGTTCTGGGGGCAAAGTGGGTTTTGACCAAGGTCTAAAATATCGATGGTATCGGAAATATCGGTAGTCTAAAAATACGAAAATTTTGATGAAAATATTGGGATATTATTGATATCGATAAAAATTGAATAAAAACAATGGAAATTGTAAGAAAAACTTGGAAATTTTTATTAAAACTTTGGATGATGTTTATTCAGTCCATTATCAATTAGTTTATCACAAAAAATTGAAATTAAATGCATTGCATAATGGGTTTAACTGATTTAAATTGATTACATAGCGAGTTGACAAACCCTGTGAATGTAGAAAATATGTAATAATTAATGAAAGCAGATTAAAGACACCATAATCATTTATATAATGATTCACTACAATATTTTACACTTTATACAAATGATAAATCCCCAAAATAGTTTTTCATGTAATTGTTAACATGTCACTCATATGGATCTGAGATTGGTCGACATTGTCCATAAACAAAATCATTTGAAGATTGGATCTCAGATTCTTTCCATGAGCCACTCGATTCCATCCCAAAAGGAAAGGTCAAAGACTCACATCCTCATGTGAAAATCTGATTCTTGCAAAAACAGTTCAAAACAAAACAATATAAGTATCATATTAGCACATTATCACAAAAACATAAACAACATAGTGGTTAAGGTGTTGGAGGAGTGAAATGGCAAGAGTTTGAATCCCCTCTGCTTGTGTACTTTGTTTTTTTTTCCTTTTTTCATTACATCGATATTTTCGATATTATAACAATATTATAACGATATTTTGACAAAATATTGCTGAAGTGTGAGCAAAATTATCGACATCGATATTTTTCAATATTATCGATATTTATACGATATGTGTATGGATACGTTTCGAAATATTCATGATCCAAAAAAACGATAGTATCCTCGATATTTTGTCGATATTATCGATATTTTATACTATGGTTTTGACCAAATTTTTTGTGGGCAATTGTGTAATTAAGCATAAAAACTATTAGTTTAAGGAAGGTTGGGGCCCTTAGGAAGAATCAAAAAAATATCGACTGCACCAACTGCACAATTAATGAGTTACCAAAAAAGTGGTGGTGCCTGCCCTATAAAGAGAGGCATGCATCTTATGCTCTAAGCCACAGTGAGTTGAGGTTTTACAATATCCTACAAGCAAGCAGTTTTTATATTGCTTAATTTTGTGTTTTTCTCTTCCATTTGTTGAGAAAGAGAGTATGGAGATGAAGCTGATGGGTTGGTCTCTGATAGTTTTTGGGTTGGTGATTATGGTTTTGAACAATGCATGTCCGGCAAATGGGATCACATGCCAAGAGGCCCTGATGACTTTGATGCCCTGTGAGCCATACTTGGGGGGTTCTGGCCCAGGCAGTCCTGCCGTTCCTTGTTGTGCTGGTGTCCAAACCCTTGTTTCTGAGGCTACCTCCACTGAAATCCGCAGGAGCCTCTGTGAATGCTTGAAAACAGCTGCAGCTGGCATGAAGATTGACCCAGCCAGACTAAAGGCCATCCCCGATTACTGCAAGGTCTCCATTCCTGTACCTCTTGACCCCAGCGTCGACTGCAGCAAGTAATTTCTCTCTCTCTCTCTCTCTCTCTCTCTCTCTCTCTCTCCTCTCTCTCTCTCTCTCTTATTTATATATTATGTAGATTTTGGTTCATATGATATTTATGATTTAGTTAGACTAATGTGTTCTTTTTACTATTGGGATGTGCAGAGTTCCTCTGTTCTGAAGGGTGTGCATGATGATGGTATGAAATAAAACTTGGAGAAGGATTAGCTGCAAGACAGATGTTCTGTGATGTGCAGAAAATTAATTAGTGTTTGATTCCTTTTGTGCATCCAAAATTTATGTAGTAAAAGAATGCTATCATTTCTCCTTTTTTTCCTGTTTTTCTTCTTAACTTGGTTTAGTCTGTGCTCCCAAATGAGAAGCAGTTAAGCCGTATCCATTTTCCTTACAAGTTTCAGTCACCAAAATCTATATTGCTTGATATTATAACTACCCTGTAAGAGCAACTCCACCCATTTGCCCTTAGCCATGGCAAGGGGGGGAGCTAGGGCAGCCACTATTCACGTGAATAGTGGTTGCCCTTGCAAAATCCGAATTTTGTGTTTCCACCCATTGCCCTTGCTAAGGACAGTTACTATTCATTTTTTTGTTTTATTCACAACTTTTTTTACCTCAATAATTAATTTGGATAATATTTTCGGATAAGATTTTCGGGTTCCTACGTGTCAATACTATTCATATCTCATAATCGGATAAAATTTTCAATTTCAAATTTCAGATAAATTAAAAAAAAAGGCTGGTATTTATAGAAAAAAATTCATTAATTTTTGGGTATTTTTAAAAAAAATTTCCGAATTTTTTCCAGTATTTTATTGCAAAAAAATTGGCTGCCGTTGGATTGGAGAAAAAAAATCAAATCAGCGAGGTACTGTAGCGATACTGTAGCGGGGGCACTGTAGCAGATACTGTAGTGCTACAGTAACCCCCTCGTTTTGGACCTCAGGCAGAACTTGCCTTCGGGCCAGCCCGAGGAGGTGGGTCCCACACCCCCCCTGGGCCTGGGCTGCTCCGCTGGAACGCTTTTTTTTTTTTTTTTTTTTTCCCTAACCTCGGGCTGGGCTGCAGCGTTGGAAAGGCTCTTATTCTCCAGATTCTTCACTGCAAAAGCAACCACACACTATCATTACAAAAGAAAAGGCCAAAAAGAAGAAGAAAATAAAAAAGAATTCAACACTGAAGATGATGATCTGTTCCTACTACAACCTAGAGATTGTCTTTTCTGGAATGAGATTGTGTGAGTGTAAATTGGCACCAGCTTGGTGTTGTCCTAATCGTCATCTTCTCCCCCTTCTTCGTCTTCTGATTCCATATCAGCACCAAAAGGAAACACTTGAGCTGAAGAAATCAGAGCCATTGGAGTCTCACTTTCTGTGTAATCAAAAGACTATTGTGGCGCAGACATGCCACTTTGCAACAAGCCCCGTTATTGACTGTGCTTTGTGTGTTTTTTTGGTTGCACTTCGCAGGCAGATGAAGAGACTAGTAACTAGGCTAATGGAACATAACTGCACCATGACCAAGAAACAAAAATGACAATATATTAATTTGAATGAGATACTGCCATGAACACAGCTCCGAAGTGCACGAAATGGTGTTGCTCAAATATATGTTCCCATATTATGGTAATTCGGTTGCTCCCGAGACATACCACCATATCTTGTAGAGACACTCTGCTGCAAAACAGGGGAAAACGGTCATGCAGAGGAGCTTCATTGAATTCTGGAATACGTATCAGCATAGAGATTAAAAGCTCAAAGTTTCAAGATTTTTATCTAAGATTTTGTTTTGAATGAACAAATTTTATATATACCTGAAACTGCTGTTTATATCCATGACGAAAGTTGACACTTTCCCTTACACGGACTGAAACCAATTCCAATTTGATTTAAATTTTCAGGCTTTGAGTTTCGTTTGGTTCTCTGAAAAAACCAATTGTCTTCCACAGTGTTTGCAATCTTAACAGTCTGCTCTTCTTCGTCTCTCAAGGCAAGGAACTTCAAGAATTCAGCTTCTTCCTCATTTTTTTCTTAGAATCGTCTTCCTTACAATCCCATTTCTGCTCATCCATCGATTTCCAGGTATGTTTATTTGCTACCACTTTATATGCTGAAAAAACAATCTTTAATGTTCGGGTATTTAAAGCCAGAGTGGTTCTGATCTCTTCATTAAGCCTCTTAAAATGCCTTGAAGCATTTCTCTGCTCCTCTGCTAGCTGAGAAGGTTGGATCTTATTCATCACCAACAAAATCCCAGTGACAGCCATATATAGGAGACTAGAAGAGAGCTTGAGAGCCAAAATGGGTGCTCCAGCTCCACTCACAGCTGCAAGTCCAGCCATGATTGCAGCAGTTGCTGTCATTCCAATTTAGTTGTTACATATCACACTAGTTTTAGGTTACCGAACATGAACTTTGAACTAGTATCCAACTCAGTCCAATCTCACCTCCCGAACAAGGATAACAGGATATCCATCAAGGTAACCAAACTTCAACCTTGCGTTGTGAAGTGTAATTTAATAAGGAAAAAGAAAATCAGCAAGAAGCTGCAGTCTCACCAATTACAGTGACATGTATACAGTATCACATGCTTCTTGTTCTTTGGTCGGTGAGCATATATTGCAAGCAAAATAACTTCGTGGCTCGGATAGTCTGCTGTCTACCGCTGGAGAAAACTTGCAATCATCACTCGTCATGCATACAATTACGAGTTTATCGCCAATGGGATCTAGCCCAGTGAAAAATAGTATTGATTTACATACCAATGAACTTAAGTTCGAATCTCCATGACACTTCGATAGTGCGTATGTGAGAAAACCCCCTCCCCTTGCAGGTGGCCCTTAAATTTGTACATCAGCTTCTAAACTAAAATGGGAATTTTGATCCAAAAATGACACTATTCGTTCCTAACATTTTGGTGCACAAATTAACAGAACTATTCTCCAAATAGTTCTTTAAACAGAGTTATTAAATAATGACATTGCTTATTAGCTTTTGCTTTCAATCAATCAATCAATAACATTATTTTTTTTTTTTTTTTTTTTTTTTTTTTTTTTTTTTTTTTTTTTTTTAAAAAGGTTTGGGGGGTTTTTTTTTTTATTTTTTTATTTTATAAATATGTTACCCCAATCAATGGTGCGATTAAAATTTCCATTTCAGAAAGAAACTGCACACACGATTATATAAAAAGAAGCTGAATACTATTAGGCCAGCCTGCCCTTTTTCTGCAGTCTTGTGTTTTACCTTACGGCCATTCGGAAAGAGCTCAAACCCAATTCAATAAATTACAATATGCTACAGCATTGCAGTAGTATGAATAAATGGACATGACCAACAAAACAACCGATTTGAATCGCCGGCCAAAATAAGATTTAAGAATTTATTATGATCTAATGTCATCAGATACTTTTGAATAAGATGTTTTCCACGCAAAGATATGAAAGTTGGAAGGTATTTCACTTGGGAACAATTCCCTATGATTCACAGTAGCACAAAACAAGAACTAGGCCGATCAACTACAAAAATCGGAAGACTCAACCTGACAAGCTCTCTCATTTCAGATTTAATCTCAACCAGCCGCAATTGAAGAACCCGCCTATAGGGTCTCAACTAACAAATCAGATCCTACAAAATTGACCTATTACGTATTTATTTTTCCTTAAGTATATTTGATTCTCGAAAAACCCCCGAATGAAATCATGTACCACTGCTGATGAGGTGCTTCATATGTCGAGGAGAAGCCTCCGAGGATCCTCAACAACATCTTTAATACGACGCAAGAAGAAAACCGCCTCTCTTCCATCAATCAACCTATGGTCATAGGTAAGAGCAACGTACATCATTGGCCGCGGAACGATGTCGCCTCCCACAACCATTGGACGGGTAACTATTGAGTGCATACCCAAGATTGCCGACTGCCAAAAAATAAATCACTTGTGTGAGATTTCTTTTCATTTTTACATTTTGTAGTTTCACAAAATACACAAACCCAGAGCAAGTATTGAACCTGAACCTCAACATCGACGCCCTACTAATGAGACGCCATTTGGCCTAAATGGCTATAGTCATGTATGAGTCTATTTCAAATATCTTAGGTATCTATTTCCGGGTTCCCAGACTAATAAAATGGATGAACCAGCATTCTAAAACATTGAGTTTTCGATATTGTTGTCTACCTAAAAAATGAAGTTCCATTTGTTGAAATAAGATGATAAAAGTTCAAGTTAATTGTGTCAGAAAAGCACCAGACCTGAGGGGGGGTTGATGATGGGGGTACTTATTAGGCTTCCATAAACTCCACCATTGGATATAGTGAATGAACCTCCAGCCATCTCATCAATTGATATAGATCCATTGTTTGCCTTCTTTGCAAGGGTGTTCATCTCCTTCTCTATCTCAGCAAAATTCATCTTATCGGCATTGCGAATAACTGGCACAACAAGGCCCTGCAAGGAAAGTAAATTGAGGGAAACTTACAGTAGTAATTAAAATGCATTTTGATTAAACATTCACTATTCAGTCTACTATGTTAATACTCATATCAGAACTTAATAACCATGGAAAATATGTACTTTGCAAAAAGTTATCAGCTCCTGAGGTATAAAAAACTAAAAACTAAAATTGGTCCTCAACAATAATGATGTGGCCCTGCCAACTAAGGTATAAGGTCAAACGGATGAAACAAACAACTAGATCCTGGTCAAGCATATTGAGCTCATATGATATAACACACAATATTAAAAAGTATGGCATTTTTCACTCTTTCTTAAAAACCTAAAACTATATTTCTCGATGGGATCTTTACAGATTAGAATAATGTTAAACCAACGTTCCAAATGCAAATATCGATTATCAAAGAGAGAAAAAACAAAACATTAAAAAACCTTTTACATACAAACGGCGCTTTTGACATCTAAGTCTGCAATTCGTCTAGATGAACATACTAGGTAAATAAATCAAAGGAATCATGGCCAAACCTTGGGAGTACCAACGGCTATGCTTATATCTATGTAATCTCTATATATGATATCATCCCCATCAATGACTGCATTAATAATAGGCTGATTTTGGAGTCCACTGACAGCAGCCTGTTAACAGAAACAAATAAAGATTTATAAGTACACACTTGCATGCAACATTTTAGTCTTTCATATTAGCAATTCTACATGTATTATGTATTGCATACTTTTATAAATCCAGACATAAGCCCCAACTTGACTCCATGCTTCTCAACAAATGCATCCTTGTAGTCAGAACGAAGCTTCATCAAATTTGTCCTATCACAAGCAGCAAATCAGTGAGGGAAGAAAAGATCATAGATATATATATATAATTCGGATAACACTAAAAAGAACAATTTGAGTTACCTAAATGAATTCATCCCAAAAACGTGAAAACAGAAACATGACATAGGCTGAAGGATAATCGGTTAGAACTTACATATCAACTTCATTGAATGTCGTCAGCATTGCAAATGTGTTTTGTGAATCTTTCAATCTCGTAGCAACCCGTTTCCGGAGCCTTGTCATAGGAATCTGCAAGCATGAGGTTCCAAATTATTAAAAAAAACATAATAAAAGACTACCATATATATTGCTTATAAAGATTTTTTATTATTAAGAAGGCCAAAAAGGTATTAAAAAATCATAGAAGACTTACTCTTCTTTCCCTTTCCTTGGGGGAAAGCTGGGGTTCTCTAGCAGAGGGTTTAGAAGGTGGTGGAGAGTGGGGTTTAGGCTTCTCAGTAACAGGTGTAGTTTCAACTTTAGGTTCTTTCTTCTTGTCAACAGTTTCAATAGGGGGAGATGATTGAGCAGCAGCAATGTCGGATGTCTTCTCAGATGGACCAACATGGTCTACACCATCAACAGACTTTGAGATAACAGCAATCTTGGTACCTGGTTCGACAGTATCCCCTTCATTGGCCACAAACTGCCACAATTGAAGTAAACATGCAGGCAGACTAAACATTCAGAAACCAGTCCATAACTAGAAAAGAGCCCCAAAGTTTCTGGGGCACATTAATCTATAAGGGGATGGGGGAGGGGGGGACTGCAAAACCTATTACCTTTTGTATCACACCGGACTGAGGACTAGCAACATCAATTGTCACCTGATGAAAAATTAACACAGAATTAAAATCCAACTCCTGATTCCTGACAAATGGGCGTTAACAATCCTGTTTGCAACTGCATAAAGCTTTCCAAAAAAAAAAAAAAAAAAAAAAAAAAAAAAAAAAATGCTTTAGTGCTTTATGAACCTTATCTGTTTCAATTTGAGCAATTGGTTCATCAACTTCAACACGATCGCCAGGGTCTGCAGCAAAATATGATACAATCAGTCAGAGTCAGAACAAATAAACAATTGAACATTACAAATATTTGACAAAATATCTGGCTGAGCTTACTCTTCAAAAATTTCGCCAAAGTGCCATCAGTAATAGATTCGCCCATATGAGGGACAACCGCATCAATGAAATCCCCTTCATCACACAAGGAACCAAAAGTTAAATGTCAGCAGAGAGAGTGAAAGAAAGAAATCAGACACCAAAAACATTAATTTTCCCATAGGAACTCAAATATTCTGAGAACACAACACATAACCGAGAAGACACCAATACAAATTATCAATCATAATACTTTCCAAGGTGCCATAAATTGTACAAATTTAGAAGACAACCAGTTTCAGATAAATCACTCCAGGATTCTGTACCATTCCTCCATTATGAATCTTACAAATGAAACCACCCCTACTTCTCCTACTAGTGAAATGGTGAAAAAACTAGAACTACCCTGAGACAAATCTCAACCTCAGGCTCATAAATGCTCTAAACTTGTTTGTTTGTGAAATTGTGCATGTGCAGGAGCTTGTGTTCGACAAAGATAAACTACTAAATACACAGACTGCTTTAAACATGAAGAAAGCTACAAAAATGTGCTTAAGGAACAGGGCATGTATACTTCAACAATAAACGGCATACAGACGGTTATAATATAATTCAGTTAAATTGATTGGTGAGAAGAAGATATCACACCAGTCTCTGAAGAAAAGGGCCTGCTCCACATTTGCCTGATGGGCTCTGGTTGAATAACAACGCCAACATTCCTGTACACCAGTAAAGCCATGAGAATTATCATTCTTTTTTTTCCCTTACAAAGAAAAGTTAATTGGAGTAAAGGAAACATCAATTTACAATAAAACTCAAATAAAAAGAGGAAAATAACTTTAGCTCACTCCTTCCCTAAAAATTGTGTCATGTTAATGAGTTGAAGTTGACATGTTGGTCTACAATTCAGGCCAAGGTAACAAACAGAGATTGTAGATATATATAAAGATGGGAGAAGCCAATAGGCACCCAAATGGTCCTGCCCTAACTGTAAATTTCAAATAGATGCAGCCCATACAAGAGGTTCTTGCCTGAAGAGCGCTTACTAGCTTCATACATTTATCAATCATTTATGCACATCAACACACAACGCATTTGACTTGACTATATCCGCAAACAAATACAAACTCCTAATCAGGCTGTTTTATGCACTACATCGAACCAGATTGGCACGGAGAAGAAATCCGTCTCATTTGAAGCAGAGCATAATTTAATCCAGTAGTAAACAGTATAACATTACCCTCAATTCTCAAAACTCTAGTTGGTAATTATCCAGTAAAACAGAATAAAGAGAAGCAACAAAATGGCGTCACTAACCTGGTTTTCTTGATACAAGGCGAGGAACCTGAAATACGAAAAACTGATATACTGATTGAACTAAACAAACAAAACCATACGTACATAAGATCAATTATTGAGCTAATTAAACTTACCTGCAAAAATGAGGTGAGAAAGGTTCCGGACCCGACCCAATCCTCCTCTGGGTTGAAGCAGAATCTGTCCCACGTACATGGAAATCAACAATTGCAGCAAACATATGACATAATGCACACTAAAAAAACAAAACCCATATTTCCAAATTCCACATTGATGATATAAGCTAGCAAGCAAAACCCAATTCATTTTATAATAAACAGAGCCATGCACACCGTGTAACATCACAAAAGGACACAATATTATATATATATATATATATATATATTATATTATAATGAAAAGGGGGAAATCCAAAATAGTTTAGAAGGGACCTCAGAGCTTGCAATGGGTCGGATTGAGTGCAATGACTGCCCCAGAATCTGAAACAAATCTCATAAATAAAGCTTGCAGAATATATTTTGACGAAATATTTTCAAATTTTAAAAAGAACAAGAAAGGAAGAAGAAGAAAGAAAAATAGAATATATGTAATGGGATTTTATTACCGAAGCAGAGGAGGCTCCAGAAACGACTCTTCGCCTTATAACGCCCAACATCGTCGTTTCGGATCACTCTGTGAATCTCTGTGTGGGTTTAGGGTTTAAGCTAACTAATAAATAATGCAAGTGAAGATTTTCAGAACGTCGTAGGGTTTCACGACAACTATCACTATCACAAGCAGACAGACGGCGCCAAGATGTTTAAGCAACACGTCTTGGTTGGTTCTCACTTTTTTTTTTTAACTTCCTCTTTTATTTATTAGTCTTGCTCTTTACTCCTGCTATATTTATTTCTATTCTATGTAACATTAATATGTGGATTCTTTATGGAAGGTGCTTTTGAGGGGAGGAGACAGCGGTGGCAAACAACCGCCCTGACCGTTCAAACCGCCTAAATTAAATCAATTTGACAAGTTTAGTTCCATTGTTACACTAAAACACATGCACTTTTGGATTAAATTGAACCATATCACAATTAATTTAAGAGTGCTGCTATTTTCACCCTCCTGTCATATTTTCCCACCCACCTTATCTTCAAAATTTTATATACAAATTTACCCCTTTGCAAAATGACTTTTAAGGACTTAAGGAAAAAACCTCAACCCTAAAATAAAAACTCAATTTCATAAGAATTAAAAAGGAAAAAAACTCCTAAATTAAACAAAGAGACGCCAAATAATGAATGAGAGAGGGAATTACGTTACGTTTTAAGGAAAATATATTTGTATGTTTTAATTATGAGAAAAACCAAAGCAAAGGATCCGGATCCCTAATGGATTAGCAAAGAGAATTTTCTTGAATTAATAATTAAATGGTATTTTAAGAATAATGATGGGTGGAAATATGGGATTTTATTTTTTTAAATTTACATGGTAGGTGGGAAGATAAAGTGGATGAGGAAATAGGACGGGGTGGGTGGAAATAGTAGCACTCTTTCCACCCCCTTGTCTTATTTCCCCACCCACCTTATCTTCTCACCTACCCTATAAACTTGAATAAACACAAACCTATCTTTCCACCCACCATTATTCCTAAAATACCCTTCAATTGTATTTCCATATTTTCTATTACAATTAAAAAAAAATCTATTAAAAAAAATTCTTCAATTAGCCTATCCCCACCTCAATCACAGTTCCCCACCCCAACCTTCTCCTATGGGGAAAACCCAACAGTCAACAACACCATGACCTTACAAATATTTAACTCTCCTTCAACCAAAGAAAAACTCTCCTTCTACTGCCAATGAAAAAAAACACTCACCTTCTTATCACTCACAAAAAAAAATCACATTGATTACTCTATTTGTTCCAGAAAATAAAAATACATTTGCTTTATTTTATTTTTAATTTCAGAGACTGCAATAGAGGTGTTATTTGAGTTTGAAATTAAAAGGAAAGAAAGAGACAAAGGAAGAAAAGGAAATGGCCATGTGTTTTTGTCAGTTTTAGAGTTGCCCAAAAGCTCAAAGTCGATGTAATTATGGGACTACTTAAGCTTTAGAGTTAGAGAAGAAAGAAAAACAATTGGATTATGTGTGACTGAAAATAAAATTGGGGTTATGATTTTGCAAGTTTAGGTTTTCTTCTGGTTCCTAATTTTAAAGAACGCATGGAGAGAAAGATGTTGATTTCGTTTTGTTTGGTGGGTTGGGTATGAAGATGGGTGTGGATTTTGAACAAAAAATAAAAATAAAAATAAAATATGGGTGTGGGTGTGGGTGCATGTGAGATAGATTGAGAGAGTTGTCCTCATAAGTCATTTTACAAAGAAGTAAATTTATCTTTACCAAATCAAAGAGTTGTCCTCATAGGACATGTGGGTGAAAATAGTAGCATTCTTAATTTAATTTGGAACTTATATAAAAACTGCCTAGACCAAATCAAATAACGTATATTGTTTTATTGAGAGAAAGGCAAAGGTTGGCCTGTCACAATAATCAACGTGAATACAAATAATCACATGGAGTTAATACAAATCATCACAGAGCTAATACAAATACATAAGCACAATAACTAGAAGGCATTAATTCAAATATGGAGAAGTCCACTAGCAACAACAATTATAAAAAGTGTACATTTATTCATAGCCACACAAGCCCTAAGAAATTCAGACAAAAAAGTTACAAGCTTAGAAAAAGCCAGACATATACCCACTAGCGGAACTAAGGGGGGTGTATTCAATTAAGATTTTAAAAGAGTTTAAAAGAGTTTAAAAGTTTGGGTGTATTCAATTTAGATTTTAAAAGAGTTTGTAAAAGTTTGGGTGTATTCAATTCAGATTTCAATTGATATTAAAAAAAAAATACATCGAAATCTATGTGTATTCAATTATGACTTTTTAAAAGTCAAACAAAATATAGGTGTATTCAAAAAGTAATTTCTTTTGAAGGAATTAATAAGTTGTCTAATTTCGTTAGAAATTAAAGTGGCAAGTATAAATACAAAAGGCCCTAACAAATCCTATGTCAACCCTAGAAACTTTGAAGGTGCTCTACGCTTTTCAGTCCTCGAACATGTGTGCTTGTCAAGTGAAGGTAAAAAATCTCCTCTTTTCACGTTTTGATATATGGATGGGTCATATAACGTAGCATATATGAACAAATCTTCTCTTTCATATATGAACAGTAGCATGTTATATGATAATATATATGTATCATATAAGTTGTGTTTGTCAATCTGTTCGACCAAAGCCCTCTTCATCATTCTATAGTCATCGAACAATAGCATATATGTCATATAAAGTGTGTGCTTGTCAAGGGCTGTTATTATTATTTTTTTTGTTTTTGTTTTTTTGTTTCTATGCATCATATCATATATAGATGATAGCCTTTTTCATGGTTATATAGTCATCTCTTTTGTTTTTTTTTGGGTACAAGATCTAGTCTATGCCAAAACAAAAAGGAAAAAATTATCTTCATATATAATTTTTTTTCTTATGAACTAATTAAAGATTGCATGTATTATCTAGTAACATTATAAATGGGAAATTCACAACAAGGAAAAGGAAAAACACCTTATAACCCATGGACATCGAAAGAGAGCAATATGCTGTTAGAACTAATGGTTGATGCGGCCAAAAGTGGATGGCGCGATTCTAATGGTTTGCTAAGCAAGCAAATAGTAGAAAGCAAAATACTTCATGTTCTTAATGCAAAACTTGGATGCCAAAAAACTTATCATCAATATCAAAGTCGTCTGAAGTGGTTTAAGACAAGATATCACAGTTTTACTCAGCTTATGCGTCATAGTTCTGGATTTGGGTGGGACTCCGTCTCAAAGAAATTCACAGCTACTGAAGAAGTATGGCAAGATTACTTTAAGGTAAGATTTCAATTTTGTTAAATATTACTTTATAATGATAACTTTCACTTTTGTACTTTTTGCATGTTTTTAATTTTTATTATTTTATTTTCGGTTTTTGCTAGTCTCATCCAAGTCAAGTGCATCTTCAAAGAGATACATTTACAGACTACGAGGATTTGGTAATTGCAATTGGCAATGGAACGGCTGTTGGGAAAAACTCAATTGGACTTGGTGATGATACTGATGTTAGAACGTATGAAGTTGGAGAAAGTAGACCTACTAGATTGCAGGATGAGCAATAGATGCCCTTTTTTTAATTTTCTTTGGATGTATATGGTTTGAACGTTCTTTACAAAATGTTTTTGTAAAGATACTTTTCTCTTTTGAAAATCTAGAAAAACGATAAATAGCCCCAAAAGAAAAAGAAAAAAAAAACATTTTAGAACTCTAATAAACTCCTTTAAAATCTATAATAAAACTCTAACAAACACCATTAAAATCAATCTAGGAATTCAATCAAACTCTATGTGGAGTTTATTGAAATCAATTGAAATATGTTGAACTCTATAAACTTTATAACTCCATTTAATTCTTTTAAAATCTTAATTGAATACACCCCACCTAAGTTAAAGGCTACCATGGGCTCTAGCCCATGTAGCCTTTTCTGAAAATTAAAATACACTAAATGTATTTTAATGTGATTTTAGATGCATTTGCTTGCTCAAGTAAGAAATAATCGCTTAGTAAACACTCATAACTTTAATTCTCTGCCTTTTCCTGTTTTCTCCCATTGTTTCCTTAATTTGTTTTCATGGAAATATTCATTTTAACGATACCCTTTTCAATTAGGTAGTCTAAAGGGTGGGAGCGGTGCAGTTCATATGAAGATTGAATTTATATCAGTTTCTATTATTGTCTACATTGAAAAATAATTTGCTGACAATATCGATTCATAAACACTAACAAAAGATTTCAATTCTCTCAAGGATCATAGGGCACAACTTCAATATGTACAATTTCAATTCTGTTGAACATATTTTCATTTGTGATATTGTGTGTTTTTTAGTGCATTTCACATATATTTATTTTATGTAAAAGCTTATTGAAAATTAGTCAATGGAGCTGTGAACTAGTGTGGTTTATATGCTTTAATATATATTTTATTTCTAGAAAAATTATCATTAGATGTAAGTCAATAACTTTACTACCCCACCCGTTAAAAAATTCATGGTTTTTTCCTTGCATATATACCTTAGCACACCAAACTACAACTTTTTAACTCTCACATGTAAAAAATAAAGTAGAGACTACAAACACGCAACAAACTCAAAATAAGTTGATCCACGTGATACAACTCAAAAAACTACAACACGAAACAAGAAAATAATAGCCATTTTGCCTCCACATCATCATTTAGACAGCCAAGCAGCCACCAAACTCAACCAAAACTGAAGTGTTGCATAGGATGGGTGAGCATAAATGGAGGGGATGAGGTCTAGGAGGTAAGGAGGAGAGAGAAAGGAGAGGAGGAAAAGGATGTAGGTGACAGGGATAGCAGCTAATTACATGAAACATGGATAGCAGCTAATTACAGTATGTCATGTGTGATAACTTTTTCACGTGACAGGATGTGATTGGCCGAGGATAGTAAAACAATGTTATCCCCGTTTCATACAAGCTTTTCTGCTAAAGGAGGCAAAGAGACTAAAACTTTTATGTGTATATATAGTATATATACATATATATATATATATTTAAGGGTTTCATATATTATTTGTTTACACTTAATATCTTATTTGGTTATAGGGTTTATTAATGGATAATGCTTCCTTCCTCGCCTACTGATGTGGCTTACCCACAATCTGACACGTATCTCTCTTGTTAAGAATAATTAAAGTAAAAAATAAATACACTTTTGAGAATAAATAAAAAAGGACAAATGTTAGTTTGTTGTTGAGCCACATTAGTAGGTAAGGAGGAGTTCCTCCATATGGGCAAGGAGGGAAGCATTATCCTTTATTAATATGTTGGATCCAGAAGTTGATATCAGTCATTTAACATTAAAAAAATTAAATTAAATCTAACTATCACGTCATTTCTTCCTCAAAATTTCTCCATTTTCAATTATAAGAAGTTTGTGTTTTTCATTGAAGAGATTATTAGGAAGTAACTATTAAGAAAGATTAAAAGTGCTGCTATTTCCACCCCATATTTCCCCACCCACTATATAAATTTTAAACAACACAATTCTATCTTTTCACCCACCATTATTCATAAAATACCATTTAATTATTAATTCAAGCAAATTCTCTTTGCTAATCATCAGTAGTTGAGATATGGAGAGGATCAAGTTGTGTTTGACAGACTGGATAAATGTTTTAGTCTAATATTTTGATTTTCTGACTCTTTTAGTTTTTATTAAATTACTAATTTATCCTAATATAAAATGACCAAAAAGGATATATTGAAATATGAAACAAATATAACTTTAATAAGTACAGCCTACTCACCATATTTAACCTTAATCAAACATAGAGAAGTTTTTGTATTGCTTGGTGCCCACGGCGAACAATGCATCAAGCACTTGCGGAGACGCAGGGAAAGTTCACAGCAATACAAGCAACAGTGTAGGCATTTTCATTAAAGCACTTGTTAATTTTGTTTCCTTTTCTAGCTTGAACAAGAAGGGCATCAATTAAACACTTATCCATTGCAAGTGACCAAACAACGTTCCTTCCTTTGTACTTCAAATCCCTTCTATGCAGGACATAATGATCCATTACCCATAAAAAAGAAAAGAACTCATAAAACTTTCATAAGATGATTGAACATATTTGGAGGGCGACAAGTTCAATCCAAAAATAAGAAATAAATAAAAATAATAATAAGAATTTACAAGAATCAAGCTTTGAATTGAAGGAGCTAGCAAATCTACTCCCACAACAACTTACAAAATTAAAGATTTTAATGCAAACCCAAAATTTTAAAAGATGGCACGAATTCATGTAAAAAGAGAAACCTTGTTTAGGATTGGTATTAAGGTATGTGATAGAATGTGTAAGGGTGTACCAGGAGTACTTTTTGTGGTTAAATATGGTGTACTTATTTAATTTTATATTTTGATTAAAATATTATGGTATACTTAGATCATAAGGTATACTCAGTTAATTTTAGAATTCGTTTAGCAACACTCAAAGAGAAAAGTGAAAGGAATATAAACAACACCTTGCAAACCCAAAAAAACAAAAAAGGAAAATAATTGAACTGCTAAACATGAAATAAAATCAAACAATGGACTGACAAATGAAGCACATATATAGAACCACTGGGTAAACAATGGACTGACAAAAGAAGCCTACTTTGAGGTGCCTTAACTTTGGCGCGCCTCGGCCCCCACCCACCCCAAAAACCCAAAAAGATAAGAAAAAGTAAGAAAGCCTTCTTCTTCAGCCTAAACAAACTAAAACTTTAAAAGACCAAGTTCAATCATCATCAAATGCTAATGTTTCTCTAGTTATGACAATAGAATAGGTGGGTGACGCGAGTTGAGGTTTTTTGCAGGAGTGGAAATAACTAGAGACAACAGTTGCATATCTTCAAATTAAAATGCAAAAGTCACAACAATTTTTATTTTTTTTAATTTGAACCATCACAACCTGATTCATGCATGCATAGCGGCTGCCCACCAGATCAAACACCATTTCACATTCAAATGATAAAAACATTAAAAAATTCCAACAGAGGAAGTGATCAACCAGCCACTTACTCTTTGAATTACACTCTGTATGTATGTCCTTCGGATTAAAGTCTGTGATCTTAATTCGTACAAATAATATATATACCCTTTCATATTAAAAATAATTTATTAAAAATATAAAGAGAAAAACTTCTACACACATATCATATTACCACCGACACAAATGTAGAAGTTTCTACTTACTAGACTAGGCGGGAACTATTAAAGCATGTTAAATTAATTGAGGTGGCAAGATAGAAGTACACTTTTGTCATCATAAAGGAATATGCTTAGCATTTTTTTATATAATATAGTAGAGCGAGCATGCATGGACATATTAAAGCACATTCGGCTAACATTCATTTGAAGATCAGCTTTGTGTCTTCAATCATTGTTCGACGCAAGAATTAAACAAATTAATTCAGGATGAAAACAAACGACAACAAACACTCCCTAACATAAACTCATAAATAGCTTAAGCTTACAAAGGGAGACAATACTACTTAATTAATTACTTAAGATGAATGGTTGTTTTGGAAGTGCATGTAGCTTCATGCATGCACGTCTTCAAGGGAATCCACCTCCAAGCCCGCCACCAGCGCCTGCTCCACCACCGAAACCTCCACCTGCTCCACCCCCAAGTCCTCCACCACCACCACCTCCGAACCCTCCTCCACCACCAGCACCACCGCCAGCCCCAAACCCTCCACCAGCTCCCCCGCCAAAACCTGCTCCACCCCCAAGTCCTCCACCGCCACCACCACCAAAGCCTCCACCGCCGCCTCCTCCAAGTCCGCCACCAGCTCCAGCTCCAGCACCACCACCAAAACCAGCTCCTCCTCCAGCACCAGCACCGCCGCCTAACCCTCCACCTCCTCCAAGACCACCACCACCTCCACCCCCTAGCCCGCCACCGCCGTGGTGAAAGAAGTTTTTCTGATCCTCAAAGGAAGCCTTCTCACTGCCAAGCTTCCTTGCACCAGTGGTGAAAACGAAAGCACCAAAGAGCACAAGAAGAAGAAGCCTAGAAGAAGAATTCATCTCTTATAGTTGGATAGAGATGGAAGTACTTAACTATAGATGAAAGCTTAGTTTGTGAAGCGGGGGATAGAGAGAGGGGAATATATATAGACATGGACGTGAAGGGCTAAGATGGGGAGATGTTAGAATTGGCCTTAAATTTTGCTCATCTTCTCATCTGCAAAACCGTGTTGGGAGAGTTAATGCGAACACCAACTGCCTTTGAAAAAAGAAGCTCTCTGCCTCAACTATTTTCTACATGCATGCCCCACCCCTGACCAATCCTAGTGGATATCCTCACTTTAGCTCTTCTTATTATCACTTCCATTCCATTCCATTAATTTCCAGCTTCATTTTCAGCGGAACTTTTTTTTCAATTTTCATGAGCTTTCAGCTGCCACATCTGGATCTGGATCTCTCTCTCTCTCTCTCTCTCCTCTCTCTCTCTCTCTCTCTCTCTCTCTCATGGGTTTCTGATGATGACCACATGTGTCTCATTTCAGTACCAAATTTGGTGCACCATAATATCATTCCCGAAATTATTTGACCTAGATATACCAAGAACATTTAAATTTCAACCACAAAATTCTCATGGATTAATGTATATAGTATCAAAGTTGAAAAAATATGTTAGAACTTCACCAAAAAAATTATATGTTATTACACTGAACACTTTCACCTCCACCCATGCAGGTAGAGGTTCGAAACTCCTACACATCCAATAAATATTTGTGTAAACCCCCTACCATTGATCGCGGGTTAAAAAATACACTTTTTCAATATTTATTTTGGCCAATTCTTCTTGGCACATTCGATTTGTCATTCTCCACTCTAAATAATATTTTATCATTTTAAAGCAGGTACATAATAAATGCCTGACAAGTTAGAAAAAAGCGTTGCCCTTCATTTTCACACCTTCAATTGCAACGACCCCCAGATCAGAAAGATCGATAATGATTTGAAATTATAAAACATTACAGAAACTGTCAGAAAATGAATTAATATTCTTATTTACTTGAGCAAATTTGTGTGGAACATAAGAAATAGGTGTCCCATAAGCCACATATCCTCCCATTCGCTCAAGAAGCGCCCCTCATGAATCACCTCAAGAATCACGTAAATATATATATAAGATTAAAATTGTATTTTTCTGTAAAATAAACATCAACAACAAAATATTTTATTGGGTTTCAGAATTTATTTGTTTTAAATATATTCATCACAACCATAGCCTTGCTGAAAAATTAGGCCATGATGAAGAGAAGAAATTTTTTTACGTTTCGAGCACACCAACTGGTTAGTGTACCGAAACATACAAAAATTACTCCATGATGAATTCATTGAATTGGGAATATGGATTATGGCTGTAATTGGAGGATTGAATATGGGTATCTTGCAGATCTATGGATTCACTGAAGATCACGGCATACCTTAAACGAAGGAAGAAAATTACAATAAATTTAGGCGGTCGTACGTAAAAAGAGAATATGCAGCTAATATTTACCTTACCTTTGGGCCCATGTTCAGAATCAGAACAGAGGGGATAGTGTGCTATCTAGCTACTCAGCCCACAACATTAAATATATTTTTTTAATTTGCATTATTGTCTGTAAAATTAAAGGCAGGGATAAATAATTAGAAAAAGGCTACTAATAATTGAATAAATTGGTGGTAATCATCTCAATCCTATTAGCGTATATAGGCTTACATTATGCATGCTAGGTCCTATCAAGTTCAAATAATGCTTGACAAACCTAAGTTATATTTTTTTTTTTTTTTTTTTTTTTTTTTTTTTAGTAATAATAATTAAACTACAGGACATGGTAGAGGGTTTCTTACTCACACACAACTAAGATGCCATGAGAGTTCGAACCTGAGACCTCTAGTATGCAAGTCAAAATCATTTTCTACTAAATTAGACCCCGTTGGCGCTAATTAGAGTTGTTTTGAAGACAATCAAACTATAAAAGTTAGAAAGCCAACCAAGCCAATAGGCCTTTGCACAGATATGCAGGTTGTGAAGCAAAGTTTCCATATAAATGAAAAAGGGGGAAAAGTAAGAGAATCTTATGTTAGCTTGATTTATTGTAGAGTTTCAATAATTAATATTTTTAAAGTTGATAATTGAGAAACTTATTTGGTTCCGGGGACTGGATTGGCTCGTTTGGTTGGTAACATAAATATAGATCAAGAATTCACCAACAGGGATGAGCCTACTGACAAAACCCCACAAAAAAATTATTACCAATTGTAAAATTAAACCAAACCACTATTTGTAGTGTGGTGAGTAATTTGAACTATTTGTAGTGGTTACTCTTTGGTTTTAGCCTTTTTTATTTTTGGTTAGAGATAGAGGCGAAATATATGGTAGAAAACTGAAAATTAAAAAGGAAATGATTACGAAGCGGACCCGTAAATATCTTCAAGCCACCTTCATATATCAAACAAAGAGGTATTTAAAAAATGAATAATGCTACTCTTACCACATTTGTATACCACATCCCTACATCATCTTATGTGGCAGTTGGGATGGACAGCCACATCAATTAAAATTATTTAATATTTTCTTTTATTTTATGATTTATTCCAGTATTTGTTTTTCAAATTGTTTTAATTAAAATACACTTCATTGATTTAATTGATGTGGCATATAATATAGACATGCCACATCATGTGGTATAGAAATGTGGGATAAAAATGTGGTAAGTGTAGCATTACTCCTAAAAAATAACTGTCTTTCCATCTTGTTAATTTTACAAAAAGGTATTTAATTATCTTTTAACAAAAATTAAAGAATAGGTGGCCATAGAATTACTCTTAATTAATAGAAAGAGGTACAATTTTGCTGGGCAGAAGTTTGGGCTATGTACATTTAACCAGGCCTTCCATTGGGCTAAATAGGAGATTTACAAATGTATAGCCCAAGAGCTTAAGCTGGTGCATCCACAGTCCACACATCTGGCGCATGAAAAAACCACTCTCCTTGAAAGCAGGTGAAGATAATTAATCAAAAACATTATCCAAATTCCATCCTCCCATTAGGCAAAAGAAGTAAGAACAACAAAAAAGTTGCGAAGATAAACCAGCGTTTCTGCAAAGCACTTGTGATTTCAGAATGAGGTGCATCCAACTTCACCCTGCTGCATTGCTTCCCATGCAAACACAGCTCAACCACAGACAGCAGCTGCTGGGGAGTAGTTGTAAAGTTCTTTTGATTTCCACCATTGAAGCTACTAATTATAAACTTGCTGCACAGAGGCAGCAGCACTTTCCTTCTCTGAGGACCAAGGGCATGCACAATGATATTGCTCTTGCTGTAACTTCCCCCGCCAAGTCTGGAGACATTTCAGTCCTCCTTCAAACTGGGTATTTCTTTTTTCTAATCACCTAAATTTTCTTCTTCTTTTTTTTTTTTGTTGTTGTTGTTGTTGTTGGAATTATTTGTTTGTTTTATGTTGCAGTGGGGTACTTTTTGTTGCTTACTTGTTCTCAAATTTCGTTGTGCCAATTCTCATTACGAAATATTTCGGATTCGATAAGGTGGGTGAAGAAGAAGATGAAGACGACCTATTTAAGATGTGAAGAGGGGTTTCAAGAGCACTGAGTCTGGAAACAAGATGAACATGTTAGCAGAATCTGTCAAGAGGTTCTTACTTTTGAAGTTAGTATTGAGGTGGAATGGAAAGTGTGACAGTTTACAAATGTGATTCTTGATGAGCTAATTTAAAACGGTAAATGGGATCCCTTTTTATGTTGTTCTTGGGTCCAGTTTTGACACCCAAATTTGTAAGTTTAATCTTAATACTAATCTTGGTCAAAGACCTGGTGACTTTAAAGCATAGAACGTGATGTATGGACAGGTTGACCAAAAGTCAAATTTTTTTTTCTCTTTCATTCCAGGTGTAATTAGACAATAAACCCATCCTTTATAATTCAAGGCAATAAGTTCATTTAAATTGTGGCTAATGGTAACCCCCCATTAGCTCGTTTTGCTCAAAACAATTTACAATTACCAGCAAAATCAAGCCTGTTTTTAACCAAAAAATAAGGGCAAGAAAGGAAAAAGAAAAAAGAAGTTACTCCTAAACAACCGTCCAATCATTTTCGTCTGTAATCGAAGGTTTTTCAGCAGGGGATGTATTTTCAGGCTTTGGAGGTGTTTCAACAGGGGAGGCATTTTCAGGCTTAGGAGGCTTTTTTGAAAATAGTGATGACTTGTTGTCAAAGAAACTTGAAAATGGTTGGCTACTAGGGCTCGTTGAGTTCTTCTGATCCTTTGAAGCTGATTTTTTTAACTGTCTATCTTTGCCACCGAAGTTGAGGACGAGTCTCTTAAAACGCCGTTTTGGTTCACCGGAAGGGGTCGTTGATTCTTCCGGTTGCTTCATCATTTTTAGGACTTCCTCTGGATTCTGGAACATAGTCTCCACTGTTTCATATACCTGTACCAAAGAATTGACAAAGATTTTCAGCAGATTATCAGTTTGGTAGTTTATATCCCTAATTTATGTACAGTCTCCACGTCCCAGCCGTGAACCCAAATCCGACCCTTCTAGCTGCTTGTAAAACAAAAAGTTTGTCAAAGTATACTTTAAATGGCCTGCAAAGGCTTTATCATCCTAGTCCAATTGACTTACATTATAACTATCAACCTTGGTCATATTATAACGTTGAGTTTAATCATGGATCCATCCTACCTGGCAAAGCTCATCAATCTTCTCAGTCCGGGTGCTGCTTTGACAAGTGGAAACCACATATTCCTTGCATTCATAGAACAGCTTCGAAAAATCACTACTACTGGACAGTTTAGTCTCAGCAATTACAAAGCCTAAACCAAGCTGAATATTGCAGAACCGGCATCATTAGCACAAGATCAGGGCACGGGCAAAGTACATGCTAAACAAATATTAAAAATAAGCAAGCACAACAACATAGAAAATTAACTTACCAAAGAAACAAACAGCTGCTCAAAAAGCTCGGAAGGTGATATGTCATCAAAACCATCCAGGATACCTTCTCTACAGGATCAATGCACAATGCTACTCTTTTCAGACGGAAATTTTTACTAAAACCAAAAACGGATATAAGAAATTAGCATAAATTTTTGCAACTTACACTGCTAAATCCTCATCAAAGAGGGGTACTTGTTTAACTGCTGGAACTGGCTTGGATGTATCCCAAAACTCACGCCACAAATTGCCTAACATCAAAGCATAACCATAGGAAACTACATATGAGACTTAAATACACGTCAGCATTTGCAACTTCTGGATGCCTGTACGCATCATGAAGTTTTTTTAAATAAATAAATAAAATAGCTGGCTTCCCTTAGCTAAGCACCATATGACAAGACAAATGCTATACTTAAGACATCAACTATTTTATCCTAACGGTTGGCCTTAGAAAGATCAGAGAAAGAAAGAACACCCATTAGAACTTAAGACCAGAATGATCTTCAATATCAGAAGAGATGGGCTTATGACAGTCAGATTACCTGCCTGTTCATGGTTCCTTAGATGTTCACTAGATTAGGTTTTCAAATAGATGCATGCATAAAAACGTCTAATACAATTGCCAGAGCACCTCAGGAACAAAGCACACTAATAGCACAGCATACATGCCCAAGCTCATTGTCGAATAATACATCTAATTTCTACTATCGCATATTATATATTGCATCTATTATCTTATAAAGCAAACCAATTTTCAGTCTGTATTTGACATTCTCCTATAACTGTTACCCTTGGATATACAAACTGCCATTCGTCACAATTTAGACAGAAATTGAAAGACAGGATGTCGTGGCACCTTCTTTTTGCATTCGACTGCTTAGATATCCTCTTGTGGACAATGCATCACTACCATCAAAAGAGTCTCTATCCTCTGGTTCAGTCTCCGACCAGTCAGGAGGGGAGTGCCATCTCACAAAATCTTCCAAAATACAACCAGGATTGGCAGCCTGCATATCATAATCAGCAGAACTTAGTCAACTTGAACAGCCGACAAATAGAATTCATCTGTAAGATAAACTTTCATTAGTGGAAACCTTGAAAGCCTGCATGTCAGATAGGAGTTGAGAACATCCAGCACCAACGCTGCCCACAAAAGATAGGCAATTTGTCAGAGAATGTATGGACAAATACGAATAAAAAGTATGCAGGTTTGAGTGCATAAGTATACGTATATATTCAGAGAACTTAGAAAATATATAAAAAATGCAAAAAGGACTAAGAATTAAGTCAAATATAAACCTTCCTGTTCGAAGCACAAACTCCTCTGTTTCTTTGATAAGATCTTCAGTTAGCAAAGGTCCTTCCTACATGTAACAATGCACATATATGATATATCTCATTTACAGGACCAAGGTAAAATAGTTATCCTTTAAGGACAAGCTATTAAACATACCTGGGTCACAGGGCAGTACACAGGTTCCCCAGTTTCCAACATTGTCACATTACCAAATGGTCGATCAGCACCTAGTCGGAGGACAAGTTCCCCAGTGCTTAGTCTAGCATACAACATAGGGCCTGCAGGATTGTCGTTTGAGATGGCAGATTCTTCTGCCTTTGGACCGGCTTCCGTTATTACAAAGTCTAATGTTTCAGTGGCAATAGCATGCCGCCTTTTCCTGGAAATACAACAGTTGATAACTTGCAACCGCTGATACAAAAGACAGGAATTCAGATCTGGAATCTCATCTATGGGGATGCCAGGTACATGTTCTTCTTCAGACCAAAGTCTTCTCAGCTGCATGTGAAGTACATTAAACATAATTTGTCAACGTAATTAATGATAACCAGCGTAGTATGCATTCAATTCAAGTGGAGCAAAGTAATAAACATAAAAGAACTTTAAAATTTTAAGAGGATGAGATATTTTCTGAGTACAACTGTCTTTGGAAGGATAATATTGCACTAAAATATGACATTAAAGTTGTCTATACCTGAAACTAAACCTAAAATTTACTTTTCCAGTTTAAGATAATAAGTTCCAACTCGAGATCACAAAAATATTCAAACCTAGACACAAACACTTATTCAAAGAAGGGTAACTTCCAGAAAATATATAACGTGCTACGGTTGTAAAACAAGCAGCTAGAAGTGTCGGAACATTTTCTCTTTTGTCTTTTCATTGCAAGCCATTGCCAAAAGCTCAAGTAACTCATATTTTATACAAAACTTACCTCTTCAACAACTCTGCACCAAAACAGTGTCATTTTCTTGAGGGTTCTGAAGTTCCCAACAACTTCAGCTAGCTTAACAACCAGGCTTTCAGGAGGAGCACCGTGAATATCTCTTGGCAAAGATGCTGTTGTAATTGCCTCTGAACCAGAATCGATCTTCCGTCTTAGAAAATTTCCCTCTGCGAATATCTTGCAAATATTACAACGGAAGTGAAAGATCATAACAGGATAGTGAATAAAAATTTAGGAATAAGAAAACCAACACAGAGAGTAACTGTCATGAGGTCACCTAACGTATACCTGCATCAAACAGCGAGCGGATCAATGCCAGAACCTTCTCATTATTACCAAAATCCGATGGCCTTTCATCCTTTTCACGAAGCACTAAGGACCTCACTGCATAGAGACTCAGGCTTGCTCTCTCCCTGACAGGCGAGGAACTTCCTGATGTTGCCAAAAAATCTTTCAATGATTTTAACTTCTTTCCAGCCCTGGATAAAGGTTCCAAAATATTTAATGAAGAAAGTTAGGAAATCATGTACAAACTGAAAACTCATATTGATATGTAGAACCATTTTGAAACACTTAGAACACATCTAGTGCCACATTGATTGCATTGCACTGCAATAGGCTTTCCAATAGAAAACACATTCGCTTCCAAAGATAACAATCCAAAACTATTGATATTCGTTTAACATATATACATATTCGAAATGTTCAAAGACTGCAATTGACCAATTGGACTCCAAAAGTCATAAAGATTTCATAAGTTCATTGCAAGAGAAACAGAGAAAGAAGACCTATTAGGCAATGAATTTCCAGAATGCAAAGACTTACTCAACAGCTGTAGCCAATTGCCTCATAACAGACAATGGAGGAATCACAACGTTGTCTGCAACAAAGCTTTCAACTGACGGAATCATCTCTGCCCCCTTGCAAATATCAAATCCCAATTTATCATCAAAGAAAAACAATTAATTGAAGCAAAATAACAGATAAATCAGTAAAATTAGTTATCAATCACAAACTTCCAGGACGTTAGGCAGGGCATAAATTGGATAACCTCATGTTTGTTTTTCTGATTAATCTAAAAGCAATGCACAAGTCAAAGTGTTTGGCCACCATTACCAGTTACATTTTTCTCTTCACAATCACAACTATATCTTCTAACTGAAAAGGAAAAGGCACGAAGAATGTGAATCACCATTTTTTTTTACTGAGTATGTGACTAAATTTATTAATACGGACAAGAATAAACCCCTGATTTAAACTTCAGTTGTCTTCCTAAGACAAGAACAAGGCCAGCCTGCGGACCCCAGGGGAGGGTTGAAACATTTACCTTTTCATTCATGAATATGATGTAATTCTTTGACCAAAAAAGAATACGATGTAATTATGC